TTTTGACCATCCTGTGGTAGATGTTCTGATGCCACCAGTAGGACAGGACAGCCTGTACGAAGGGCCTTCTATGTGACTGGAAGACCGCAAATACGAAGTGATGAATGATGGGCAGCCTGAGAAGGTAATTGTCTTTGAAGTAATATTTCTTGCAATTCTACTCACTGACTTATTAAGAATTTATGTAACATATTATTTATATAACAATTTAAAAAATATTATTTGGTGCGTGAGAAACGTTCATTTTTTTTTCTTTCATCAATACGATTCTGGAGGGCCCATTAGACCGAGGACACGACAAATGGACCGTTTATATCGAGAATGTCAAGAAACCAGAAGGGATGAATGACGATCAGCATTAGAAGGTATTTGTCATTGTATGTCTAGCAACACTATTCATTGAGACTTAAGATCCATATTAGGACATTATTCAACTCATGATGGCTATAAATTACTATTAAATTAGAATACCTATCGATGAGTCAGGGTTTGACTTTAAATGACGGAAATTAGACCCAAAGTGATCTAAATTGCGTTTCTGGGGTGTAAAAACTCTCACATAAAAAATACACAGATTTAAAGTGAACACCTTTCATAAGCATTAGTCTTATTGATCAGTGTCAACAAAGGGAATCTTAGAATTATCTGAAACTGTTAATTAACCAAAGAGGAATTTTTTTGACGCATCATCACCAGGATCGTCTACACGGCAGGAATATATTGAAAATTTGCACTGTTCGCTTTGGCTTTGAATAGTAGATTCGTTTTGCTTTCATTTTGGCCCTTTTCAAAATCAAGGACATGTCGTATTTGTAACCTGCCTTTAATTACTTCTTCCCTGCCAGTATAGTGTATGTTTTTAACCCTTGAAACTAAATAAAACTATATCCATTTTGGAGGATTTTCTATTACGTTTCATCCCCAGGACTGTCTACAGTAAAGGACCGGTGGATTGCCGACAGGATCAGAGGATTGTCGAGAAACAAAACGCGGTGAATGATCAGCCTCAAAGGTATTTGTCGTTGACAGATGTCTTGGCCTATTTAGACGTATTTAAAACAACCTATTATGACTGAACATTTATAAGAATACTCATTGAAACTTGAAAAGTTTCATGTTTATTTTAAGGTTTCTCTAAAAAAACTGCCCCTGGACATGTCTAATGGTTCCTGAAAATATACCTTTGAATTGAACGTTAGCTTTTGACGTAATTCAAATGGAAGCAATTTGTTTGTTTCAAGGTCATTTGAAGGTTATACTTACTTTTCAACCTGTATTGTTCATGTATCTTTTTTTCACACCAGTGTAGGGAAAACCTGTACCGTAATGTTTAGTTGATTGAAAGGAGGACACAATGTGAAGTAAAGACGTCCTTGAAGATCAAAACTTCCTTTCTGTGTCACATGCTACATATTTTTGTACTGCTTTGCTCATTTTAATAGATTGTACTGAATTTAAATAGATCTAATCACGTATCAAATATTTTAGATGCTTTAACATGAATGTGCCTTAACTCAAAATTACATAGTAATGCAAACGGATTTCGCTTTGACATTGTTCCCCTCAGATCACTGCCACTCATCAGAATTTTGGTCAGGACACTGGGGTTATCAGTAAGTCTTCCACAAAAGGTCAAAGGAAAAACAGCTGGCAGTGCTTGTTTGATCCTCTGATTATGCATTTTACAGCATCAATTATGGCAACTTAGTACCAAGAAGGGCAAGGAACAAGCCAGTATTCAACTTTCACTTCAACACTCAAGCTTAAAATCAGTAGGCAGCTCTTGCCACCCAATTCTGCTTCTGCCATCCCCTCCCTCCTGTAAAGATAGGTTGATAGGAAGTTAGGTAGATAAGCTAGGTTCAGAGTAGGATTTTGTAGATAGTGTT